TATAAAATTTTATAATTTTAAATTATATTTTTAAAATATAATTTTGGGATTACAATTTTAGGTCCAAAAAATTTTTGATTCATCTTCAAAAATAATTACCTATATATAAACAATAGTTCCTAAAAAACAGATAAAATAATTTTTTTATATAAAAATTTTAAAAATCAAATTTTTACACTTAAAAAAACACTTGAAGATTATTAAATGTTCAACATAATAATGATCTTAAGCATATAAGCTACTGTAGCAAAAGAATTCCTAGAAAATGAAATTCTAGAAATCATAATTTGACTTTCAAATAGTATTGATCTAAATTCTATAGAAAATTTATTTAAATGAGTTAAAGCAATATATAATGGAGAAATAAAAAAGAAATTTCTAATATGCTTTAATGAACTTGATATTAAATTTATTTTATATGTGATCTAATTTATTTACTGCGGAGATATGATCACGTGAAGTTGTCCAACTGTATATGCTGTATATATATTTTTCTAAACTGCCATTTTATTTGGGAATTTAATAAGAAAATATAGTAACTCTGGTCTCAAACTTTCTAAAGTTCACTTCGCGCTATGATATATCAAATCAAGTATCAACCATTATTATTACTCTTTCCCAAAAAATCCACAATTATCAATTGTCTATATATCTGTTGAAAATAATGAGTTGTCCCTCTTATTCCATCAGTTAATTTTCTTTAATCAATCTCGTCTCCAAATATGAATTTTAATTATAATATAATGTTACATACAGTGAAAATAAAAAACCAAACCTAAACACATAATCGCGCATTTACATCATTCAAACTGATTACACGATCTACGAATACTGGTTATTGAGAGGGTACCCGGGTTGTGCTCCTTGAGGTTGACCTTGTTGTGAATAATATGCGTAGTCATACCCTTGATTCCGCTGCTGTGAGGGTGGTTGATTTAATGGTTGTTGTGGAGGCGGTTGTTGTGTATATGGTTGAGGAACGTAGGCTTGCGCCAATTGATGCAGCGACTGTGGCTGCTGCTGATTTAGGTATTGAGCGTTATTAGGATCGACATTCAAATTGTAAGGAACATTATTCGGCTGTGTCACAGGATTATTGTACGAATAATTTGCAGACGGAGAATTCGGAACTTCCGAGTTTGACGGTGATGATGTTTGCCTGTATGCGGATGTGTCAGGGAATGGAGTAGAGTTGGGATAGATAGGTTGTTGTGGGGCTGCGTAGTTAGGTTGCTGTAGTGTTGCTCGATCTTGATTATCCACATTGGCATATGGTGTTTGTGCGTATGCATTAGCGAGGTCTTGCTGAGGATACTGCGAGGATGAATCCTGTGAGATCTTGGGAGTGAATTGATTTTGTTGCGCTTGTTGTTCTGAAAAGGTATTTGGTTGTGTCGTCTGATCTTGTTGGGCAGGAGGATTATATTGTTGCTTCTGTTGTTGAGCTGAAACTTTATTTGTATATGGGGGGTTTTGCTGCAACTGTGGTTGTTGAAGTGGTTGTGGTTGCAGTTGTTGATTTTGTGGTGGGAAACCAGCCGGAACATGGCTTTCCTGTGAACTCGAAATCTGAGCCTGATACTGCGTCGGTTGCTGATTTGGATAGCCCATCTGTTGACCCACGGGCACTTCTTGTGCAGCCGGAGACATGTACTGCTGTTTCTGTTGAGTTTGATAATTGTTCTGCTGACCCAAACCACCGGGCAAAACTTGGGGAATATATTGAGATTGTTGGATCGTTGGCAGATACTGAGTTGGTGGTGAAACATTATCCGGTTGATATTGCGCTTGCAGTGATGGTTGTTGAGCCGGATAAATATTTTGTTGACCTGTAGCTGCATCTACGTGAGGAGGTACATTATATAAATTTGAAGGTGGTGGTTGTTGTTGGTAATATGCAGGATTAGAATCAACATATCCTGGAATAAAAGCAGGATTTTGTTGTGCATAGGGTTGCGCCCCAAAGGTGTTTGGAGGCATACCACTATCTGAGGCAGCCATTTGGGAATTGATCGGTGACGAATTTTGATAATATTGAGATGGACTATCGAGATAAGCTGTGAACAATGGTTGAAGTTATTAGCGAAAGAGAAATGATATTAATAAAGAGAACGTGTTAATTTTATTGTTTACTCACTAGGGTCGTATTTTCGAAGAGATTCAGACATAAGTCTGTCATATGTTGTTGTTGCCTGAATGAACTTTTTGTGAAGCGCAATCAAATCATCTATGGAATATGAAAAAAATTTTTAAACGAATCCGAATGGAGATAGATGATTTAACAAGAAATCATAATAAAGCGAATACTACAAATAATAGTATTTATCACCTTTCTTCTGACTGTATTTCTCAATAAGTTTCATCAATTTTGGTCGAACCGGCAATGTGGAATTATATAGGTTCTATTTTTAGGCGCCGGTCAGTAACAAGATAATTTATTGGCAAAAAAACATATTCACACATAAAAATTTCTTGCCTGAATGGTTTCATTTTCGGTAACACTGTCACGTTGTGGATCCAGGCCGGCCAGCATTTCCAAAAGTTGATCAATGCTACGACTCTCGGAGAAAACACTAGCCTCCATGTCAGCCTCTTTAGCGATCTCTTCGGGAGTCGGATCCATCAATTTTTCCTAAATAAAAATTATTATCGCGTTATTATACCATGATCTGTGAAAATCAGTATGTGGACGTAGAATAGTGAAATACTAACCACATAATTTACTGGAAATATACCCGTTTGTCCGCGCAATTCACCCCTCCACCAATGTTTATATACGCTATCCAACACGGTAATCACATCACCTCGAGAAAAACCGAGTTCACCAGACTCGCTGGGGGTAAAATCGTATAAAGCTTTCACGCGTGAAACATTTAGATGGGAGAATTCTCTTTCCTGCATCCATTTGAAAAAACTTATATATTAATCAAATAACGAACTAAAAATGGATGTCGAAGCATACTCATGAAAGTCAACAAACCTGTGTAATTTGCTGTGAGGATTGTGGTGTGGTAGATTTGGTTGGTGTAACATTTGCCTACGAATGGACAGTTCAATAAGAAAATGCAAACATAGCCTTGTTCAGGATAGTAAATTTTATGTTCATTACTCTTTGAGGAGATTTTTTTTCACTGCTTTCCAAGGACAACTTTAAGGCCAATTGAATTTGTTCCTCTTCTTGTCTGCGTCTCTTTTCAATCTCAATCTGTATAATTTTGGTTGATTAATATAAACAATTCGCTGGCATTTGGTTAAAAGATACGTGCTACTGTAGAGGACTAACCTCGCTTTGTTCTTTCTTTGGTTTCTCCGGAGAAGGAAACTGGAAATCTAAATTTCGATAATGATTATAGGACGTAGTAGCGCGTCAACTATTAACTTGGAAAAATACATGGGTTAAAGTAACTTACTTTGAGCTCGCAAATTATTAAAGGTCTCTTCCATCAAACTCAACGTCGGATCAGATCGAAACTCAATGGTCCACTCTTGTATTAAATCAAGTATTCTATTTTTAACAGTTTCATGAGTACCCTACATTCACAAGGAAAGACCGTGACTAACGGAGATCATGAAACGGATGCTTGATTATTTCAAAATAAAAATTTGACTGGTTCAACATACCTTATCGGTCAGTATCCGGGTCAGGAGTGTTGTGAATGTACGGGAACAGATCTCTTTTCGAACGTTGTTGCCGCATATGCGAGCCAGAGAGTTGGACAACTACGGATACAACAAAGATTAATCAAAATTCGCGGGACAAACATGTCACGAGGTACACACCGTTAATGCATAAAGTTGAACGTTTGCGTTTCTATGAGTCAACCGTTTTTGAATGGAGGATATACATTCGCGAGCACTGTTCAAGCGACCAATCAATTACTTAATTCAACGTACTTCAATCAACATAAATGTCTAAAAATATGTAACAGAACAGGCATACCCTTGTTCTCCACCCTTTTCGACCTTGTCGCAAACGATCATTATCAAATCCCAGTTCTCCTTGGTAAGAGTCTCGCTGGTCGCGGCGTCTAATCATGTTCAACGAACTTAGCTATTTGCATTTTTTATGTTAATGACTTACAGAAAATAGTAGGTAAATGGTTCCACTGAATACGTACTAACAGGTTCATCGAAGGGATTTGGACGGCCAAACATTTTATATAATATACAAATTCTGCTTCTTCCAATACGATATGCCTAGTTGCGAATTTAAACGGTTCAGGAAAATGATAGAAAATTACAGAAAGTGGAGATTGTTGTCGATCATCCAAATATGTCGCAGCAAATGCAACTATAAATAACCTGAGTACTGCCACGTAGCGATAATAAGGATCGGAATTCACCCGTTACTCAATTCTCTCAAAACAACCCGAAGACCTAGAACCATCACTTGTTCGAAATGTCTTTTTTCGATACACGTTCAAATCGATACAACTTTTCTGCATCGGAGGCCTTTAAAAACACGGCGGACTTGAGTAAACCTGTTCAAACACATTTACTCAAAGTCTACACAACCCTAAGTGGTCTTACTCTAATTGCAGCACTCGGATCATATGCGCACATTACCGGCTCCTTCTTATTTGGGGTTTGCATTCCAACTGTTTATTTAACTTCCTTGAAATTCTCAAGTTCTGCTACTGACCTCATATGTCTCCTATAGGGTGGCATACTCTCTTGCCTGCTAGGCCTTGCCTCATTATTTGGCATCCTAAGTTTGCCAGATACGACGGAATACAGAGTAGTTCGTTATGCACTCCTAGCTGTAGGTTTTTTACTTTTCGTTCTTGCCCATAGTGTTATTGTGGTTTATTGACATATCTCCTTTTTAATTAGAATTTCGGTTTCATGGAGGGACTTTCCGTTGGTCCGTTGATTACCTACGCGCTTGCCATTTCATTCTCGTACGTGACTTATGGTTCTCTTTCGAGATTTATATTCCTACAAAAAAAAAAAAAAAAAAAAAATTAAACTCATTTTTTGACCTCCTCATAGTAATCAAATCGTGTTTACCGCCTGCCTCTTTACCGCTTCAATCTTTGCATGTTTCTCGTTGAGCTCTTTGTTAAGCAACAAGAGACAATTTATCTACCTTGGTGGAATTTTAGGCTCCGTATTAAGCATATTATTATGGACTTCGTTTATCAATTCTTTTATAGGCTCCCGGCTTCTGTACAACGCTGAACTTTACATTGGATTGTTCATGTTCTGTGGTTATGGTAAGAAAATTTATTAAATTATCATAATTTATTAATTCAAATCGCACTTAACTGAAACTTGGTTTGAACGCAGTGATCTTTGACACTCAACTTATCATCTACCGTTTCCTTCATCTGGGATCGACTGATGTCGTGGGTCATACTCTTGATTTGTTCGTCGATCTTTTTGGAATCTTTGTGAGGATCTTATTAATATTGACGAATAAGTCAGAAAAGGAGGATAGGAGGCGTAGAAATAGACGTAATTGATTATCATACGAATAATTTTGCCTTTAATAATTCTCAGGAACAAAAATTATTTGCAGAATATTTGCTGTATTTTTAGCTTTGCGGTTATTTGGAAAGACATTATTTATCGAATTTTTAATTATTTCGTTGTAATTATTATTATTTGTCCGAAAACAAATAAATCGTGATCGAATTTTTTTTCACCCAAATTTATTCGCAAATGTAACCAATCGTGGTACTAACGAGGTCTTTTCACATTTATTTCACAATAATGTTACATGTTTTGGTTAAAGTGCCTATCAATGGTGCCCGACAATAGTACCGAGAAGATAACCCTCTATTCGAATAACGGAGATAAACCATAATTCGCGACCCTCATATTATAATAGAAGTCCCCTGTTCCTACCCATATAATAATCACCGAATGAACCATATACGAGAAAACACGCGTTAAACAGAGCAAAGCAATATCCATGAGACAACAAGTTGGAAAGAATGTCCAAATATCAATATCTTACAGAAGGTAAAGCAAATTGCTATTTGTATATAAAATCGAATATATTAAATGTTCATTATTTGCTTAGAGTCTTTTTTTTTTCTTGTTTTGGTTTTTTTTTTGGTTTTTTTGGTTTTTTTTTCTGGTTTTGACTCTCATTTCCTAATTCCTTTGAAAATCTATTATTTCTTCAAGTAAACTTTCGACAACCAGTTTTCACTTAACTCTTCTTGAACCTCAAATACACACAAACAGAAACGACCCGAACTCACGAGACAAGGGCTGGGCGTTTCGTCACATCAATCCGATCACCAGGTGGAGACTAAAAATAACAGGGAATGATCATTAATACAAACCCCAGCTCGGATTTAATTCAATTATTCCACATCAGAATTAAAATTACTAGAGAAAAATAAAGATTGTTAGAACGAATCTTGAATGAAATAAATGATTACCGATTCGGGTTTCCGTTTTCCGAGAACTGTGCTCGGTTCACCTTCACCCCCTTCCTGAACACTTTCTTGATTCTTATTATCGCGTGTATAATAAATGGTGATAGATTAATTAGCATTTATTCGTGTCAAATAGATCAATGATCGAATGATCGCCTCCGGGATATCAGATTTGTGATGAAAAGACCAACCTTGAGAGCATCGGCATGACAAGTCGCGTGGTAAATGATCCCTTCAACTTCCACAGCATTTCTGAACAACCATTCCTCATCCGAATCGTTCCAGAAAAATTGAAACTTTTCTTGACAAATTGGACACGGTTTACTTGCTTTCTCAGGATCTAGCGGAACAATCACGGTAGACTCGTTAATTACTTCATCCTTTTTCGGTTGGGCGACACTCGACACGTTTTTCGTGACATTTGTATTATCAAAATCGAAGAAAGCAGGTGACTGGGAGTTTTTTGTTTCCGCCTCACGAGAATGAATCCAATCCTGAAATAAAAAAAAAAAGATACGTTTTATCTTTAAATGTATTAGTCGTGGAAAGCAATAGGAACGCGTTGACCAACCTCCTCACTAACAAACCAACTTCGACTCTGCGTTTTCTTGGCCTTCTCTTTCATTCTACGATTCTGACGAAAATGCCAATCCAAGTGAGAATCCATTTTCGCTTTACCTTCTTCATCCCTAGCGTACCGAAATCCGCATTGCTTACATTGTAAAGGAAATGCATCGTAGAGAATCGCAATAGCCCCTTCCCGTTTTCTAACAGATAAAAGAATATCTGACCAATAAGTGAATGGTAATTCGTTGTTGGTGCACGAAACTGGTGGTGGATTTCTTACCTCTGGATATCATTGCTTGTTAATTGAATTTTCTCAAGATCATTCACGTGCATCACGGTTGTCGGAACATCTGCCACAGAACCCGATTGTGGTGGTGTGGGGGTATTCCCGCCGAAATTGAATCCACCTACGTTGGCAGTTCCAATGCCTCCGGGCAAATTACTAATGATATTGCTATTCCCGAGCAACCCAAATTCCATCAAATTCTTAACTAGAGTATTGGGATCCGGTACGAGAGAAGTGTGAGATTGAATGGAAGGGGTGGTAACGGGAACAGGTGCAACGGATACGGGGGTTGAGATAGGTGCGTGAATTGGCACCGAACTCGCTGAATAGGATGTGGAAGGTGTTGCAATCGCTGCATTAAGAAGAGTGGACAATGTATTCACGTCAGGCGTACCGGCGATGGGAAAAGAGGATGGTGGCAATATGCCTGTGGATGTCTGAGTTGTGGTTGTCGAGGGAATGGACAATTGGGTGGCGAAAAGTTGACGAACTTGTTGGAATTGATCAGTTGTCAACGGTGCTTTTTGAATGGCTTCAGATAGCTGAGTGGATATCGATTTAGATGTATAAATGAATAACGCATCAACAGGATAACAACAAAGGTAATAACGTAGACGTCTCGAACCTGCTGCAGATTCCCAAGTTGACTTTGATTATGCAAATCCCCGGGATTCTGTAACGCGTATTGCTGGCGCTGCAAAATCAATTGCTGACATTCTTGCAAAAGCCTTTGCTGGTCTGGTGGCGGAACGAATGCTTGATTTTGTTGCAGCAAGGGAGGGGTGGGTGCCTTTATTAATAGAAGGTATTAATAAAAAAAAGCTGTTAGTATCTGGAATATATAGATTCGTTTACTGCTCGTGTCTCGTGAAATCGACGTTGGGGATTTTTCATCACGACAATGTTGAAAGGGGATGAGAAAACAAAATGTGAAAGCAAAAAGATTCCAGTGTTCGATTTTTTATTATTCAGAGATACAAATTTCAACGTGCTCATTTATATCATCTTTTTTATTCCTTAATTTTTTCTTTTTTTTTTTTTTGATATAATTTTCCTTCAGTATTTTTTTCTTTTTTCTTTTTTTTTTAAAAAAATCAATTGATTTTTTTTTTCTTTTTTTTTTTTTTTTTTTTTTTTCGATTCTTTTTTCTTTCTTTTTTTCTTTCTTTTTCTTTACAATTTTTTTCTCTTTTTTTTTTATCTTAAATTTTGTGTTCTGATTATCACTTGGACCTTTTTTCACCATATACTTCAATCAATGTAATAAGATCAATGCCTTTAAATACATTGCATATCGGGAACATCCTTTCTTATTTAAAAAGGTTGTTTATAAATGATGTATTATTTGTTAATAATATCGTTTCCCACCGAAAACAGCAATCTGTCTCTAATATTATACTGAGATGAATCTCAGAAAAGTTAAAGTTCTGCGATAAGCGAAACTATCAACACTTGAAAAAAAATGAAATAGCTAGAACGGCAAAATTAAAATTATATTTATAATATCACAAATATCGAGAAGGAATTATTATTCATTGAAGAAATCGAAAAGAAAATAATGACGAAGCAGACGTAGGAAGAAATCGCGGAAACAGAAAAAAAAAAGACACAAGACAAGCGAAACAAAATCGGAGAGCACAAAACGTTGATGAACTAACCTGTTGAGAGTTATAGTATCCCTGACGGTTAGGACTCCCAGAAAATGTCGACATTTCACTTTTATTATACCTCGGGTTATCAATCCATTGATTTGTTGTCTGTTGAACCGGTTGAACTTGAGAAACCTGCTGATGTGGTTGATTTTGCTGTTGATAGTTTACCAATGTGTTCTGACCCTATAAATAATTAAAGATAAATTAAAAAAAAAAATAATAATAAAAATCGAAGAGGTGAATTCACACGATTACCGTCGACTTAATGTAAAATTCACTTACGATGGCACCGCTTAAAAAATTTGGATTGATGTGAATATGTGATCTACCGCCGTCTATCGACCCCCGCGATTGATATCTCATTTGTTGTTTCATCAAAGCCCTTTCGATCTGATCTGTGACTTCAGCCGAGTATACCGGTTCACCTGTCGGACCGCTCTTCCAAGTTGCCAGTACTCGTTCGAGCTTATGTTTCGTTGGTTGATCAACAACATTATAAGCATCCATAAAAGTATGGAAAAGATTTCGAGTAAATAATTGGATATATGTCCCGCCAATATTTTTACTAATCGAATCGAGGAGATATAGCACTGGCAATTTTTGTGGGGGTGGAAACTACACGGTTTAAAAAATTACTGGTTAGTACCTAGTTCACAACGACAACTTGTTGACATGTTATTCTGTTATGCCAAGGAAATTTCCAAGTATCTTGTAACGCGGTAAAAAACAAAAGGACAAAGCAAAAATCAAGGATTGATCTGCTCTAGCTCCTTTCAAAAGAACAACTACTTACGGCGCGAATTTGATCTTCAATGGCTTGGACAATAGCCCTCGCAGCAGGTATATTTTCCTCGGCAATAATAGTCAAGTTATTTATTATCGGTTTAGAATTGAAGGTCAGTTCTTGTAAAGCCGCCCGGTAATTTTGCCTAACGCTCTCTAAATCGATTTCAAGATTCTCCATTGTTAAGTATCTTTTTTTTTTTTTTTTTTTTTTTGAAAAATGGGTGTATTTTCGTAAGAACTAATCGCTATTATATGCAATCTATTGTGACGCCCCAGAATCTTCTATTATCACGTGTTTGTATCTATTGTTTAAAATTTGTTTCAAAAAATTTATTATAAATTTTAACTTTATACAATCAAAAATGATAAAATTTAAAACCTTTTCACATATTAAATTAATCATAGCATATTACAATATCATTAATAATATATAAAATTACCTTGAAATTGATTATAAATAACTAATATTAGATAATTAATATTTATTTAAAATATTATTATTATTAAATTAAAAATTGTTTTATAAGTTTTAAATTATTATTATCTTCTAATAAATTTAAAATTTTAATTTTAATTATATTATAATAATTCTTATTTATTTATTATTATTTTTTTTTTAATCCACAATCATGTTGCAATGGAATGTCTTTATTGAAATATTGAGAAATAACTAAATATTTTATAGACTTTTATAAAACAACTAACTTGTCATTATACATTATTAGTTAAAGGATTATACTACTCAAAAAATATGAAAAGTCCACTAAGCTAGTTCAGATTAAACAAAACTAAGTCTAAACTAGATACTCTAAGTCAGATTTAGGGGACAATATTTCACTCTCTTAGTAGCTTGGCAATAGTATCTCTAAATCAATTAGGGTCATTACCAACAATTTGTTACTATAGATTATTTTGAAAAATGATGAATTGTTAAAGTTAGTACTGAAAAAAAGGAAAAGAGAAATATAAATCAAAGCCTTTCAAAAGGTTCTTGCTCCATTTTACAGTTTTCTCTCGAAAGGAGTTTGTCTAATTAGGGTATTCTCTAAACTTCATGATATTTGAGAAACTTAGCCATTCCTGAAAGTAACTTCAAGAAAAACCATTTGAGGAACTTATCCTTCTTTCAATATATGAATTCGCTTATCATTAGTGAGGCCAGTGCCATATTATGGAAGAGTTTGTTTGATCAGGATAAAGAAATCTTTTCAAGAACTTTGTCTGACCAGGATAGAAGCTTGGAGACTTTAGCTTTTGTTCAAGAAAATCTTTTCATCACCTGAAAAACTTAATGAGAGATGGGAGTTGAATCCTCTTTTCATATCCATCGCTCACCTTTCGGTATTATAATTGTTTCCTAAAGGTTGAACATACACAATTAAAGGGAATACTTTTTCTAGAACTTTTTTTCCTATATCACCAATAATATATCGAGACACATGAATGTAACCAATAAGAGCTTGTTTACATTTTAAAAACTAACGTGTTTCATGTTAGCCAATCATCTTTAGTAAGAATTTGTGTTAACAAAAATTTAGGGTCAAACTGAGGAAGACAAAATTCCTCAGAAAACCATGAAAGCAATAGCTCTAAGAGATCCACAAGTGATTGGAAGGGGAAAAATAAACTCTTCAGTCATCAAAAACCTCTATATATTTCTTGCTTCAAAGGTTAAAAAGATCTTCAGATACTTCACAGTCAGTTTTTCTTCCTTTGGAAACTTTCTTGCTGTTGGTATCAAAGGTATTACTTAATTTTTCTTGGTCCTTAGGAGTCAAGTTTTTAAGTAAAAAGGTTTGTAAATAATAGGGGAAGGGTAGAAGTGACTCTTGAAGTCATATTTTAAGTTGTTTTAAGGAAAGTATTAAGACTTTATTAGTAAGGAAGTATAAAAACTTCTTGTAAACATCTTTTTTGTATGTAGTCAGAGGATCATCAGAAAGAGTTTTCTATTAACTCATTTTTGTGTCAAAATAAACTTATTTTATTAAAGTAAGAAAATGTCTAGAAACAACTGAGATAAATAATTATCTGTACTGTTTAAGAATTTACAAATTAATAAATAATATAAAAAACAAATATTTATATTTTACCTAACTAGAATAAGATAATTATATAGTTATCTAATATAAATATTCTATTTACTTAAACAAACAAGGAATAATATTGAGTAAAAAAATTTTTTTAACTATATTATCTATATACCATATCAGGCACTTCCTAGAGATATAAAAAAATATGATTCACTAAGAGACTTATCACTATTTTTAGATTTTATAAAAGACTAATATATCAAAGATTTATCTGTGATATCTAGTATTTCTGATATTGGAAATTCCTTATATAGAGCCTTAGTACTAATCAAAAATTTTTATAAAGTAGTACTGTTCAAAGAGTATTTCAGAAAGGTAAGGGTAACTATTTAATGAATTGAGAAGTTGTGTTTTTAATGTATCAGTGTCAGATAACCAAAAACTCTTCTAAAGAACCATATACATTATTTTATAATCTTTTTTACTAGTTGTGTTCATTGAAGAAGGAAAGAAGTAGAAAGAAATTGTTGTTTTCTATTAATGTATTCTAGTTCAGATTTTTTTTTTCTTTTTATATATTTAATAATATTATAAATTTTATATTCCATATCTATCTGTGTAACTGACTTACAATTTATGGTGAATTCCAGGTTCTTATAGATATTGAAAAAATATATTCAGATATGTAAGATGGCCAATGTAAATTTGTTTATATCTTGAGTTAATAATATACTTCTATTATTCAATTATTGCACAAGAAACTTTGTGCTATTCACAATTTAGGATCAAACTGAAATATGCAAAATCTCTCAAAAAAACTGTAAAAGAATACTTTTAAAACCTAAATTATAATAAAAGAATAGTAAGGTGATCTTCTTCTAAAAAGTCTCTCATTATACACAAGACTTTATAATATTTCTTTAATAGATAAAAAGAAGATAGAGAGGTCAGGTCTACTTTCTTTTAAAACTTTCTTGACATTGGTAAGAAGGATAAATATTGTCTTTCTAGCTATTAAGACATAAGTTTTTTGTAGCAATATATAAAAAAGGATAGTGGGATTGTAAAGTGATTTTTGAAAATCTTATTCACAAGTTGGTTTAAAGAAAGAGATAAACTATTATTAGTATTGAAATATAAAACTTCTTATAAACTTCTTTTTTGTGTATGATCAAAGAATTAGCAAAAATAAAGAGAATTATATATTCATTTTATATTGTCATGAACTATTCTGGTGAGTCTGTCACTAATTGTAGTACCTTATATAATTCAAATAACTAATAATACTTTTAATTGATATAAAAAAGAGAATACCTCTTGTAAAGAACACTTAGAAAAGTCAAATATATGATAATTAACTTGATTGATAGTAAGTATCTCTTTATTTGCATTTTGTTTCTTTTATATAATACTAACTCTTATCTCTATTAATAATAAGAACTGTTTTTCTAATACATTCAGCATTGCTTTCTCAACTTATATTGATAAACTATTTATACTTTTTTAACTAATAATGAACTATCTACTTTACAATAGGCTATACTAATTCTAAACTTTGTTAAACTTTCTATACTTTATTAAACATGCATAGTTCCCTTATCTATGGTTGCTTCTAAAAGTTTGAGTCCACTTACTATATTTTTATTATAAATTTCACTTTAACAAATTTTAAATCATTATTTATACAGTCAAAAATTATAAAATTTATATATATTATATTTTAATACTTATTCTATTTCTTATATTTTTTTAAAAAAATTTTTATTAATATATTCTAAAGTTTTATTATTGCTAAAT